AAGGATCTCAGAACCTATAAGAGCTAGAAAATGAAATTTTAGATGTAGGTGCTCCTAGTTCCCGCGCAGATCGAGTTTGTTTCCGATAATCGATAGCTTACTCCAAGCAATCGATAAAAATATCGATATCGATATCTTGTTTTTTTTGCAATTTTGGTAAATAATAAGAGCTAGAGTCACCAAACTTGACAAATAGCTTCTTAAATAGAACATATATATGCAATGTTGTTATGTTGGAAGATGAGGGTTCAGGGTATCCCCTAGTCGGGAGCTCCCGACTAGAACCTCTTACTTGTTTCAAATGAAACGGACAATTCAATTTATGTGTGTGCGTTAGCCCACAGCAACAACAGCAAACAACAAACTTCATTAGATGAGCCGCACAGCGCAAATTCAATGGATAAACATTTCTTAATTAAATACCCTTAACAAAAAAAATTTAATCAAAAACTTTCTTCCACTTTCTCTTAAAGTTTGTAACATTAAGTTAAATCTATTGGATTTTTTAGGAATATTAAAATGTTGGAGAAGTTAATAGCAGAATATAAAATATAATATGAATGAAAGGAATAAATAGTATACAAAATAAAAATATTAGTAGACAATAATATATTTATACTAAACACTTGCCTATTTGGTTATGATCATGGTACTTAAATATAGTTCTAGGTCCAAATTCCTATACATACTTATTCATATGTTGATTTGGGCAATATATATTTTATTTGACTATAGAAGAATGTATTTTTAAATTTTTTTTGGTGTTTTATGTGAAATTCTTAAATATTAAATAAATCTTAAAAACTGAAATTAGCTAACTAATATTTCCAAAAGAAATTGGACTTAAAATTTTAGAAAAAATCAAAAAGCTAAAAAATAATTTAAAATGAAAATTCAAAAAACTATTTACCAAAAATGTCCAAAACAAATTTGGCTTAGAATGCCTTAAGAAAATCTTTTAAAAACATATTTTAATAATGTTAAGTTTAACATTTATTTAGATCTGACTAATTTGAAGAGTATTTGCTAGTCACCAGAATGAAAATTTATTCAGCTTCGGCTTCCTACTAGTCCTTGAGTATTGTACTAATTTAATATATACATGTACATATATATGAATTTCTTAAAATACAATTGTTGTCAGCTTAAAGCGACTCATACGTACTGCCAAACGTTACAATTGGCAAATAGAAATAGTGGGAAATGGAAAATGGAAAATATCAGATAAAAGTTTTAATGCGCTAAATCGATGGATGACCGCAAAAAAAGTTTTTGTCTGCCACTGCCGCTGCCTTGTGAACACTTGTGAGACCAGATAACTTTTTGCTTAAAGCTGGGGCGCTGCAGATGAGCGCCGCTAGAAGCTGGGTGGCTGGTAGGAAACGTGGGCGTGGCAGTTAAGTTGCATTGTGAGAAAAGTTTTTGTGCCGGGTGTGTTTTGGCAGCTTTTTCATGTTTTACTTATTCTGTTTGGCCTCAGCGACGACAAGTTTTGGCAACCTTGAGCTGCAGCTGCTGCGGGCTGCACGCTCCGCTGTTGCACTGATAACCCCCGCCGTGCAATGCACTCCACGTAATGCCCGAAATCAAAGCCAAATGATAAGGCGACACACCTCTAAGTCCGCCTGCCAAAGTGCAATTCATTATCATGCAAAATGCTGCCAGCGAAATGCCGGAGCGTCCCGCATTTAATGGATTGCACAAAATTCATGAGAATGCACAACACTAGTTGTTAGTGTTGTTCATGTAGCTGCAAGCTCTCAGCTCTGTTAGAATTAAAAGGCTTCCCGCCCAAGTCCAGCCCCCAGCGTCCCGCCCCTCAGGTGCCACATAATCCGCGATGTCGTCGACGCGACGCGTCAGACTGTAAATAATGAAGTTTGCACCTGGGCGCCGCAGTGCCAGTGATTTGCGTGGGGCGTAGCATGCGGCATGTGGCATGGGGCATGCGACAAAATGTGTTCGCCTACGTGTGTGTGTGTGTGGCATGCTTTTAGACAGACATAATAAAAATGCGTAGCAAAAATGTGGCAAAAACAACGAGCATAAATTTATGAGCTTTTGTTTAAGTAAACGTAACGCCAGATATATAAACAGAGAGTGTGTGAAGTGAGGTGGGCTGGTGGGCGTGGCATTCGACATGTGGCATGTGGCATACCGCTAGACAACCGACTGCTTGTTTATGCATTAACCGATACACCGCATTTCACTTTGGCTATATGTATGTGACATTTAGACTGTCAGCCTATAGGTCATTAATAAATAATAATGCAAAAGAAAATTGAGAGGGCATCAAAAAAATGTAAACAAGATTCTCTGAAATTGAGCAGCGGCCAAAACACAATTTTATTGCTAGCTGGCCGACACGGGGAGAGAGAGAGAGAGAGAGAGAGAGAGAGAGAAAGAGGGAGTGAGGGGGAAGTAAACAGTGTGGGTGAGTGACACTCAATTGACAACAAATCTAGCCTGTAGCCTGTCGTTAATGTGCAATTTTACATTTCCACAAAAACGAAATGAATTAAATATATAAGAAAAAAAATTTAAATAAACACATTTCCAATATGTATATAAATAATTTTTTTGGAAAAAATAATGTGCATACTCTTTGCGCATAAAATGAGATTGCTAAAATATATAATATATATAATTATAAATATAATTAAATAATAAATTATTATGAAATTATATTAATATAATTTCAAAGTGAAATGTTGCAGTATGGGACGACTTGATTTATGCTAAGAAAGAATATTTTAAGGATTTTCTTACCCGTATTTGGTCAATATTTCAATATGCCTAATTCCTTATTATTCATATTTATAGAAACGTCTATCTTACAATTAAGTTTACTCTGGTGTAAACTGCTAAAAATGTAAATTGACATAAAAAATCCCAAAAAGAATGTTTTCAAAAGGCAACAATTTTTTATGACATATGTAGCTTCAAAAGTCGACAAAAAAAACAACGTAGCATAGTGTTGTTAAAGTTTTTTCAGTCAAGAACTTAATTATGAGAATTTAATTAATTTCAAAAATGTTCAACTAAAAGTCCCATGCCACAATCCCGAGTTGGCGCTGGTCATTAAAACCTAGAAGAGATTTCTGAGCGACAGATACCCAGCTACTGCTGAGTCCTGACTTCTGACTCTCGACTTCTGACTCAATCCTTGTTTAATGTCGGCGCTAAATGCCGTTGCTAGGTAAACACGTTGGGTACGTTGCGAGTCCCCAAACGCAAAACGTGATGCGCATTTTTCGCAGTGCGGAATGGTGGAGAGGTCGCTGGCGAAACACACACAAAAGTTGCGCAAAAGTTTATGGCTCCAGCCAGGACCTTGTTCGACTGGAGCTGAGGCAGAAGATGGGCTTGTGGCACGCAGCAACTTGCCGCAGCCGCTGCAAGCTGTAGTTGGGGCATCATTGGACTTAAAGCTCAACCGAATTCCAAATGTCTGTCGAGGGCGCATTCATTTGAGTAACGGCGTTAAATTGAGTGCAGTCACAGTTAAAAGGTGCAACATTTTAGCCAGCAATATGCAGATGAGTTGCAACAGTCTGTCCCGAGAGAGGAAAGAACATTAAGTTGATAAAAATAAAAGAACACTCTGCAAAAATTTAGAAATATTCGTTGAGCTAGTTGTTTGTAGCACTCTCCAACGGGGAGTTGACTAAATAATACGGGATGACTCCCAAGAAATCTTTGAGTGCTGAGTACTTTATGAACTTTGTAGCAGTTTTAACAAAGCTTTCGGTTTTATTTGTAGTAGTTTTGCTAATGGATTTATATCACTTTAATTGCAACATAACTCAAATAGCATTTTGTATAAATTTATATGCCACTTTGGAAAAGCTTTTATGGAATTTTAAACCATTTTTAAACCTTGTGTTGACTTGAAAACGGCACATTCCCTTCATAAGCAGTCAAAATATTCTTTATATTTTTGTTAAGCCCACTTATTGCCAGTTGTATCCTTTTTGGCACAACTTAATACACATCTGAGACTCAATTCAATATTTTGATCATTTAATTAGATTTGCTCTTTTAATTGCATTTTCCAGACCCCGTTACCCAACTTATTTCCAGTTGCTCTGCAGAAGTTTGGCTATTTTATGGCCTTCTGGCAAAAGCTTTAAACTCTGTCGAAAATGTTGTTTGCAAAACGAGCAAAGTCATAAAATAAAAAAACCATAAAATAGTAAAACTAAACTTTTTTTTTTTTGCCATGCTGGCATAAAACAAAAGTCCTGCCAAAGAAGGGGTAGCCAGAAATAGCAAGAATCCACACAGACACCGACACTCGGCACACACACACACACACACACAGCAAGTGGCAAGTTTTTGTTGCCTGTGGCAGCAACACAGCCCGCAACATAAAAATCACATTTATTTTTGACACAGAAACCTATTGATGTATAAAAAAGTAGATTTTCAATGCCCATATTCCCCACATTTTTAGTAGCAACCATTATCAGGACTTTGATACCCTGTTATTATTTAATATGGGTGATAAGGGCTAATAAAATTTGGACAAATCTATAACAGGCAGGCCTTATCGAATAATAAGTGTTTTTGATTATCTATCCAGCTATTTTATGACCTCAGCGAACGCAGAGACTGCTAGAGCTAGAGTCTGAAAGTTTGATATGCATACGCATTCTAAAAAAACCTCGATATAAACTTATTATACCTTCAGGTTTAAGTTTGATTTTTGGTACCCCTTACATTTAAAAATTGACTATAAAAGTTATTTAACTCCCTTAAATCAACCCACAGCTGTGTACTCAGTATTCAGATCAACAGAATTGAAAATAAGTTTAAAATACTTTAAAACCTTTTGCAGGGTATAGTCAAGTGCACTACGCGAGTAGTGCCCGCTTTTTTGCCTCATTTCTCATATATTATAAGCACCCGCAAGCTATGCAAAATTGAATTCCATATCGAAAGCAAAGATTTTCAATAAATATATTTTTTTCTCTGTTCTTCTTTTTTTTATCAAACAG